TCCCTGCTGGCTTGGCCACAGTGCCAGCCCCCCACGGACCCCGCGGCACCACTGGAGGCGGGGCGGGGCCCGTCCCCGAAGCCCAGTCTCCAGGCTGCTTGAGTGCTGGAGAACCTGAGAGTGGGGCTGGGTCCTGGCAGCGTGCACCTGTGTCCCAGTTCCACTTAGGCCACGGAATAAAGACCCACGGATAGTTTGCATAAAGCAAAATGAATAAAGCAAGATCCAAAAGGAGGTAGAATTTGGGTAGAGAGAGCATGTTTAATTGGCTACATTCTCAGAACATTCAGTGGTGACCAACATAAGATCCTTTGTCCTATGGCGCTTCTTTCGTGAGTGAGTGAACGAGTAGACTCTAATTCAGAGGACCTCTCCCAACAGTTCCTTGATCTCTTTTATTTTTTTTGACAATTTTTTAAAAAGATTTTATTTATTCATTTGACAGAGCTAGAGACAGTGAGAGAAGGAACACAAGCAGGGGGAGTAGGGGAGAGGGAGAAGCAGGCTTCCCGCTGGGCGGGGAGCCCAATGCGGGGCTCAATCCCAGGACCCTGGGATCATGACCTGAGCCGAAGGCAGACGCTTAACGACTGAGCCACCCAGGCGCCCCTCCTTGATCTCTTTTAAATCAGGGCTGGTGGTGCCTGGCCTGGCTCAGCTGGAAGAGCATGTGACTCTTGATCTTGGGATCATGAGTTAGAGCCCCATGTTGGGTGTACAGTTTAATTAATAAGTAAATTAACTTAAAAAAATTAGGGTCAGAATGTCAGAAAATCAGCTCCAATCTCACTCAGCGGAGCCCCCTAACTAAGCAAGAGCTCCGGTGAGTGTGCACAGTGTCCCTCAGTACCCAAAACTACCTCTCTCTCCTCTAGGGCTTGAGAGACAACCTTTTTCAGACTCAGAAGAATTCGAAGTTGCCACCTTCTGCATACAGTGGAGAAGAAAACTGCTAAGGCACAGACTTCGAGAAACTTCAAACCTGGACTGTGATGAGCTGGACCTGCGTAAAACCAGCACTAAAGGGCCCCCAACACTGGCAGCCCTGATTCAAGAAGCCTTATAAAGGCTGAGAAGTATTCTCTGAGTCGGACTCTCTGTCGATGTGTACCTTGGCCCTGAGATGGGCCACCCAGAGTGGGGAGTGCCTTTTAGGCTGAATCAGCCTGTGGGGACGCAGGGTGACATGGTGGGTCAGGCGGGGGTGAGGTGGCTGGGGCTGGGCCTCTCAGAGAGATGCCCTGGCCATGTTCTCGTTTTGGGGGACTGTCCCTGGGCCCCTGGTGAGGCTGATCTCCTCCTGGGAAGGATGCTTCTGTTTCTGGGCTTAGAAGGAACATCACATATAGGCTGTGGAAGCGGGGAGAAAAACATCCAACCCCTGTCAGCTTCAGCCTTTATTAAGGCATTGCAAAGTGAGAACAGTCCCAGTTGTGCAGGAAGCCAGGTCCTGGAAGATTTGTAGGTTGGATTGGGGAGGTTGGTGGAGTTCAAGGTATGGGGAAGCTGAGGTGGTGTTAGCCTGGGATGGGGTCCCTACTAGGGCTGCTTGTGTTGCTGCGTGAAGATTAGTTTGCATTCTCTAGGATTTTTGTAAACCTGGGACCCCACAGTAGCACTCGGTCTTTCCCCTCTGGCTTCTTTCCTTCAGCATGACGACTGTGAGGTAATCCTTCCCAGCTCCCAAGGGCTCTTTGCTGCACTTAGGTCACAAGACTTCCTCTAATGTTTTCTTCCGAAAGATTGATGTAGAGATTTCTCCATTGTATGTATCTTTTTAAATGACCAACTTTTGGTTTCATTGACTTTCTGCTGTTGTTAGGTAGAGTGTTGTATGAACACCGGCTGGGGCAAGTTAAATGACACCAATGCTCAAGTCTTCAATGTCCTCCCTGATGTTCATTCTACGTTTCCCAGCCATTTTGATAGAGGGGTATGGAAATCTGCAACTAGGAGTGTGAATTTGCCTGTTGGGTTTAGTGTCTCTTAAGGACGATTATCCTGTGCTGCCTGGGTTCCAAGACTGAGGACTCGTGTTTTGTACATTTCATCTGGTGGCTTCGCGCCTTCGGGTGGGGTGTGTGCGCAGAGACCTGGTCTCTCTTACTCCATCTTGGCCAGCAGGGGAAGAACTTCTCTTTTTTGAACTACCTTTTCTCTAGCTCATGGTTGAGTCTCCTTTTTTCGGAAACATTCCCTGGATGATCTCCTGCTATTCAGAACCAAGTTCCTATAAATATTAGTCTCCCTGCTATTTTGTTTCTTTACCATCCACCAATTCTTCAAAAATCTGGCTTAGTTTTTCATTTTTCTCCAGTGTGTCCGATGCAATCGGCTCTTCCCAGAACTCGGTCTCTCTGGGTTCTTGACTCATTCCCGGGATGGATTTGGTACTCCCCCCGTGAGCCGTTACTCCACATGGCCTCCAGGTGGTGATCAGACTCAGCTGTCCTGCTCGTAAGGGGCTGAAACAAGTACGGGCCAAGTTCCTCCCAGGAAGAGAGGGAGGATTGCAGCTGTGTCCTTCTCCAAGCACCCTGCGGCTCAGCAGCCCTGAGAAATGGCACTCGGCACCCTGGAATTACATGCTTACTGCATGTCAGGCTCCTCCGTTCAGCTGTAAACTCCAAGCCCATCCGTCCCGTTTGCGTCAGAATCCCCAGGGCCTATTGCTGAGCCTGACAAGGAAAAGGCGCTTAATATTTGCTGAACGAATACATAAAGCATACGTAGTTATTTACAACTAGCTAAAATATCTTCCTGTTCAACGTCTTGCACAAAGCACAGAAAGCTATGCAGATGAACTCGCCACTTTTCTTGCATATACAGAAATATAATTAACAGTAGTGAAGCTCCAGGTTTATAGAATAAGCCCCATTTCCTCTATTCCAGGATATTTCTTGATTTTAAATTCTCGATTGGAAGCAGGGCCATGTGTTGACCTCCACAGGCCCTAAGTACTCTCATTTCTCAAGATCTTACTCTAGCATCGTAAATGCACCCATCTTCCACACTAAGTGTGTGTGTATGTGTATATATATATTTATTTATGGATGTGCTTATATGTATGTGTAAAATATATACTTGTATAATTATTCTTTATAAACATTATGAAAATATTTAATAACTTTGCTTTCAAAATTAAACATTTCACCTTTACAATTTCTTACAACATTTTGAAACCAAAATTCTTTTTCAAGTCTCAAACATTTTTGTAGACTTGTGAAAAGGCTGTGGGACCTGGAAGTGTGCCACTTGTATGGATAAAGGCCTCTGATTTGGAATCCCGGTCTGTCTCGTCCTAGTGATTACTGCTGGAGCTCCTGCTGAGGAACAGAGCCTGTGTGTCTTCCCCTGTCCCAGGGAGACAGAGGCAAATAGAAAAAGAGCTCATGGTGCAAGAGAGGACAAACTTCCAGCTCATTCACAGAGAGAACAATTCGTTCTCTGCCGACCCAGGGATGTAACAGTCAGGGGGGTGTGGGGGTGGGGGAAGGCACGGGAAAAGAGCCTGGACTGTCAAGCCGTGGAGTCTGGATTTTTTGGGCAGATAAGGGAAATCCTGGAGGGCTTTTAAGGCAGTGAGTGGCTGTGTGATAGCTGCATTTTACAATGAGCCGGTTGCTGTTGGGGGGGGATTTAGATTAGGGCTCTCGCAGGCATTCCTGTTCCTTTGAGGTGATGTAGGTGTGGGATCCAGCACCCCACCCCAACTTCAGCCAGAATATCTCCACTTTTATCCATTTTGCAGACCGGTTTCACATACATTTCTCATTGGGGAATAGTAGGCTATAAAAGCAGTCCATCGTGTCCATTTCTGTAACCTGCACCTAATAGCATATGCTGAGTGTTCAAACAGTCTTTCTTAAATGAGTGATGGATCCTGATTTTGTCAATGAGGAAAGCGATGCTCAGGGAAGTCCTGACTTGCCCAGGGTTCTGTAGCTCAGGATAGTGCGCACCAAGACAAGATAGCCAGCTCTCAAAAAAGACCTTTCTACAGAGTTGCTCAATAATTAAATCCAGGAATCTGCTAGGCCCCCTTATTAGAGACAGTGTGTCCTTGACCACTGAACATACTAGAACAGAAACCAGAAAACATCTTTTGACGAGGCTTCCGGACCTTTGAGGGATGCAAGATGGGTCCCTTCTTTGTTGCTCCTGATCTCGAAGGGAAGTGCACACCCCACTACTCTGAGCCCTTCCTCTGCAATGAGGTTTGTTCTTCTCTGGTCCTGAAGAGCTCCTGCTCTGCTCTAAGCAGAGAATTTGCTAGCAACCTCTCAGATTTGGGTCCTTTAATCGAAAATTAACGTAAGAGATGCTTACATATCCAGAATGAAGACAGTATCGGGAACTAGGACTTTAGATGCTATTAATCTGTGTGGCTCAGTGAAGCATAATCTCTGTGTACTAAAGGTACATTGAAGGCCTGCCCTCCCTTGCTTTCAGGAAGGCCTGCAATAGGCTCCAGTTGTAAGTTCTTATACGAGTACATGCTCCCCTGTATTCTGTCTTTATTTTTTTATTATTTTTAAAAGATTTATTTTATTTTATTTTAAAGATTTTATTTATTTGAGAGAGAAACAGCACAAGTGGGGGGTGAGGAGGGGCAGAGGGAGAGGGAGAAGCAGACTTCCCACTAAGCAGGGAGCTTGATGCAGGACTCTATCCCAGGACCCTGGGATCATGACCTGAGCCGAAGGCAGATGCTTAACCAACTGAGCCAACCAGGTGCCCCTAGATTTATTTATTTTAGAGAGAGTGAGAGAGTGTGCACAAGAGGGCATGCATGAGCAGGGGGAGGTGGGGGAGAATCTCAAGAAGACTCCTGGCTGAGTACAGAGACGACATGGGGCTTGATCTCAGGATCCTGAGATCATGACCTGAGCCAAAATCAAGAATCGAATGCTCAACCAACTGAGCCACTCAGGCACCCCTGTATTCTGTCCTTAAATGATAAAGATCTGTTAAAGAAAAGCAACACAGCGCCAGACAGATATTATCAGAAATGTTTTTATTTAAAGTCAGACGATAGAAAGGTGTCACAGAAAAAAATTACAGAAACTTGTAACAACAGAACGTAAGTTGGAAAGTTATTAGTAAATGAGAAGAAATAATATTCCTGATTTTACCCAATGATTTGTCAGTCCTTATCAGTTTAGCAAAATATATCCTGCTGGTATCTTCTGAACAGACAGTAGATTAACAGTTCAGTTAATTTACTAAATTGGTATCTACTAAAACCTTGCAAAGTGAAACAGTCAAGGCAGCATTTCCCCAACATTTGAGATACAACTTGGGGGATTGAAATAAAAACACTAAAAATTGTTGCTTTGCTTTAAAATCCCACCTCATTCTGAATAGGTTTAACCTACATTTTAGCCCACAGACAGTGCTTGTGGGTCTGATAGAAAATGAATGATCGTAAGTCTGGACACAGAATGTCCCCCCCACTGCCCCCCCCCCCCGACACACACTGCATCCTAGGACGCAAGTGCTATCAATGCCTTTGCCATGTGCAGGCATAGAAGCCCGGGACTAAAACCAAAATGACCTGGGCCCTGGAAACCTGGATCTATACTGAGCCCTTTCTGAATCCTGGGGCGGGGCAGGGGGGAGAGCAGGGGATTTAGGGGCAGGAAAATTCTTTTTAACACTTTGGCAAGTAAGTATACAAATGACTACTTCTTGATTGTCACTTTTATAAGGAAATCTCATTCTACCTCTTGAAAAAGATATTCTCCTCTCTTATTTGACTTCCTCTCAAACAACTGGAGGGCAAACGTCTGTAAAACAGAGGTGGACAAAAACCTCTTGTAATAATGATTAGTTTATAATTTTTCACTTTCTCTATTTAAAAAAGCATATAAAATGTATAGTCTATCACTGACAACTAACACTAAAATATTGCTCATAATGGAGGTTTGGAAACAACATGGCTAGATTTTTTTTTTTTTATTTGGGTCTCTATATATTTAATTCTCTTAAAATAAACTATATATCACACCTCTGACAAAATAATATTGGCTAATGCAAATTCTACTGCTCCTCTTAACTTTAATACCCTCACCAAGGCATTAAAATCAATAATGAGCCAGGAAGTATGGGGCCTGGTAATTCACAGAGCTAATATTTTTCTAAAATGCTATGGTTAGCTATATATTAACTTTTTTCTGACAAATTCAAAGTTTTAAAAACAAGAGATTCAAGGATAAACAAGACTGCAATAGTCTTAAGAATTCACAATCTTGAAGAAATAGACTTTATCTATGCCCACAATGATTTTGCCCACTGTAACATGTGACTGTTCTATTCCAAAGACTAATGAAAGGTATTAAGGAACACACAAGACCCAATGTAGAGTCCAAGTCACGACTTTAAAGGGTAAATTACCATTCAAGGTGCTGGGATAAAAAAAATTTAAACGTTACTGGAAATTCACTAGGTTAGGCATACCTTCGTAATTGTGGTTGATATTTTGAGAACAGGAAGAGAGAAATTAGAGAAATGTATTTTAAAATAAAAATATGGCTCTGATTATGCAGTTCTTTCTGGCTACAGAAAGAATCCTTCATAGATCTACAGGAATGAATTATTGATCAAACTTCCACCATGAAGGAGTAAAGTTATCTTGTAAACCTGGAGGATTCTTAAGAGTTATGAATTATTGTAGAAACATTTAACTCCTAAGTTAAATGCTGCCATAACCCTACCTTCACATTGTTTGGTAGGGAGAGGAGCAGGGGAGGCAAAAAAAAAAAAAAAGAGAGAGAGAGAGAGAGAGAAGGTAGGTGCCTTGTGTCTACTAAAAGAGGTATACTTTCTGAATTGTACTCTTGGATATAATCATGGAATGGCTCCACCACATCAAAATCTAATGGATGTCGGGAAGCAGTTAACAAGCAATTAACAAAGCACCCACCCTGTGCCTAGAACCAGGCTTGTTGCTGTGGGGAAACAGCAAAGCAAGGAGGCACATACCATCCTGCCTCCAAAAGCATAAAATACCATTTAAAATGTGCTTTTTATTTATTTAAAAATTAGAAATTCTAAATATTATGTTGACGTTGACCTAAAGTCCTTTCTTAGGTCTGTATCCTTTCCAAGAAAAGCAGGTTAATTTGGGCTCTGTTACAACTGGCAGATACTGATAAATAACATACTCAAAAACAAAACCCTAGCAACTTGGTGATTGGTAGCTACCGAAACTGCTTCTGTAAATCACATTAAACTCCTTGGAGGAAAGGCATTACATAAATGCTAAATCGTAACACATACGTGAGGAAGACAGCTTTAAACACTCAAGCCCTGTTTGGTTACATTTTGTTAAAACTTACATTTCCTAAACTAAGCCTTATTTGTTTACTAATGACTTATATATCCCACTTTTTGACCATAAATATGATCAAGTGCTGCCAACCCATTTCTGAAAAGGTAATTACAACTCTTTATTTTAGATATTCACAAAAGCCCAGTTCCTGAAGTTTTCAGGGGCCCTATCAGTGGACCACTTGACTGCAGACCACACCTCCAAGTCTGTGCCTTCAGCACAGACCACCTCTCCGAGGTATAACCCTCAAGCCCAGAAGGGTAAACTCAGGGAGAACATCTCTACCTTGACTTTGTGTTGGGCAATTGGAAAGATTTCGACAAGACCTCACATCTAGGTCCCTAGGAACCTCCAAACTTTAAGTTGCCATTAACCAAAGGAAAATGATATCTTTATCAAGCAAGTGGTCACTCAGAAAGACCTCCATGTCATGTGCTAGCAGAAATACATACTAAGGAGTGGGAGTAAACATCTCTAATGTTTCTAAGAGCCAATGGCTTTTATAATGAATTTGCCACTTTGCCCACCTCACACATGCTATAATTGAAGCAAATACACCACGCAATATGGATTGTCATAGCATTTTTAACCCTCCATCAATATCCAACTTACATAAAATGGGCAGAGCGGTCAGATCTTAAACAGACGCTACAAGTCCATACAGCTCTAAATTACGAAAGTCCTACGTCTTACTAACAACACACAAAATGTTAAAGGGAATTGCTAACTTGATGGGTTAATATTCTCTACAACAACTTCTCACGCAATTCTATTGTGTCTTCAATATATATCATCTGAAAAAACATAAAATCGGTGAGCCATACAAATCATGTTATTTTGGAATTTGTACAGCTTAATGCACCCTAGTGGAAGTGTAATGTGTAATGATTATGTCCGTAAAATTATAAACCAATTTCACATTTAAAAATACTTTAATAATTCATTTACTCCTTACATCAAATCTGTGAGCAGTCAAAATTATACCCATTTCACAGATAAGGAACTGGACGTTGAGAAAAAAACAATTCAGAACAAGAATATGAATTTATTCTCTTTAAGCCCCCAGCCCTCCCAAGTTCTCCTTTCCTTCTTCTCTTCTAATTAATTCAGCGAAGTGGCCTATATGCACACTTATACAGGATTTCTTTACTAATCAACAGTTCTTTCACTCTTAAAATAAGTAGGACAAGCAAGGAAAACTAGTCCTTAAGGCAAATTAAAAGACAACAGAAACCTAAGCAAACATTATCCTATAATTAGGCTGTTTCACTTGCAACCTAATTCTGGGGTTTGGCACATGCAGCTGGGTAACACAGAGGGTCCCTACAGAAGCAGATGTAATTGCTGAAGCAGAATTTGAAATCACTCTAATATTTGGTTTACTTTCAGGTTCAGAATGAGGTCCTAATTGGGAAAGATCCAGAGACAGGAGTTTGGAGCAAAAACTAAACATTAAAATGTGGGAAAGGAGTTGCCCAAACTAAATTATGATCACCTAGGTATTCCAATTCAACACCCTGATATATCCCATTCTACTTGACATCACAGTAAACAGGTATAAACCTTCTGTCACAAACCAGTATGAATAGTTAAGTTACACCTCAATCAATGAGTCTCATCCAGACTCTTTTAGGACACAAGTTATTTCTGTTATTTGTAAATGTTTGGCTTATAAGAATAGGGACATAAAGTATTTTCCAGTGTGCTAGTGTAAATCAACTTACACGGATTCTAACAAATACTGATTCATCTTAAAGAAGACCTATTCATCAGGGAAAATGGCTACTTACTAAATTTTGGTGAGAAAAAGGAAAAAAGAAGATTAAAATAATCTAAATTGACAGGATACAATAGACTATCCCCTAAGCTAAAGTTATCTCGATTAAAAAAGACCACAAATTAAAAAAAAAAAACCACAAATTAAATTCATTATTTTAAACATTTTCATATAACATATATTGTTAAATTTGAGACTATGCCCACACTTATAAAATAGCCTCTAGGACCCTAGCTGATATGATAGGGACTCAAGAATATGGAGCAAATGGACATTATAATTTGCATTAATGATTTTTAAACCTTACTTTTTAATTAAACCTTCAACATTTCTCTTCCTTCCAAAAAGGATCTTCTGTTAAGAATTTGGATTCTAGGGTCGACTGGCTGGCTCAGTTGTTAAGCGTCTGCCTTCGGCTCAGGTCATGATCCCAGGTCCTGGGATCAAGTCCCACATCGGGCTCCCTGCTCCGCGGGAAGCCTGCTTCTCCCTCTCACACTCCTTCTGCTGTGTTCCCTCTCTCGCTGTCTCTGTCAAATAAATAAATAAAATCTTTAAAAAAAAAAAAAAAGAATTTGGATTCTATTTGGATCTTTAACAAGCCAAATTATCTTTTTTGTATGATATTTAAAATATGAACATCATTACTTAATATAATTATAAGAGGGAATTAAAGATTTGCTAAAAATTTCAATTTAATTACTAAAATGCAGCAATTTTACTGATTTTTTCCTGATAAAGTAGTATTATATATATGTATGTATATAAGTGTATGTGTGTATACACACACACTTTTTTCTGTCAGTTTTAACCATTTATTGACTTAAATTAATAAAAGTTCATGTGGACAGTAAAGCAGAGAATACTCTCTATGGCGGCTTTAAAGTGCATTTTTTAACCCAAAAATGTTATCCAGAGCCATTTTAGGCAACAATGGAACCAAAGTATAAATAATAAAAATTCACATCCCCTTGAACAACTGTCCTTCCACTTAGAACACAGTGGACTTCTTAGGTAAGCAGAGTTTCTGTTCACTTAGCTGCAACCCCATTTAAGCATGGAATCAAAGCAGAAAAAAAAAAATGAAGAAGTGAATAGAAAAATAAGCATTAATATTAAATTATATACTAGCTGAGTGTTAGGTTCCCACAGAAATATTTTGCCGTGTATTTTTTAAATCACTTCTCAAGCATAGCTATTTTCATCCAAGGACCAATTTCCTTCACTTTCATTATCTTTTATAGTGAAATGCTCCATCTCAAGTTACTTATTGGAGCTATTACCAGCAAACACGGTCACACATGTCCAGTTCAAGATATGAATATCAGTGTAATACTTAGTTTCCATTATAAATAATATATGTATAAAACAAATAGGGCTGCCGTTATTTATATACTGCACAAAAGACACAAGAATGAATACAAATTATTTTTCATAAAAATCAATTTCTAAATCAGTTTAGATTTCCAAACTATGAGGACATTAAATACTTAAAATACCAGGCAGTCTCTTCTGTTACAGAATGCCAGTCAGGAGAGATCTGAAAGAGATTCTTTATTGGTAGCCATATACAGTTGATTATACCATCTCTGTGTTTTCTTGCTATTTAAAATATAGAACCTGGACATTTAAAACATTATCAATGCAATAATCACTACAGACTGTCACTGGATCTTTTAAAATTTTGTTAAAAATTTCCAAAGTCATGATGAATACAATTATTGCAGCTACATCATTTGAAAAAGTAATATAAATTATGCTGCTAAAGACAAAAAACATTGAAACACATAAACATCACATAGCACAGCAAGAACTCATAACTATTTAATATGAAAAATTAAATTTAAAAAGTAATGTTAGAGAACTTGGGGAATTTTTCACTTTAGCAAAAACAATCTATGTATCTCCAACTTCTATGATACAGTATACAATAAAATACTTTTAAAAGATATGACATTCAAATGCTTCATTTACACAAATAATATTGCCAATACTAATAAAAGTGATGCCCTTAAACACAAACTGCTCTGTTGATTGTGATTTTAAAAATGTTTTCTTTACTTCATTTTACATTTTAGTTAGCAGTTAGCATTACATATTAATCAGTTCTGTGTTGACAAATAGAGAAGATCCTAGTCAAAATACTGTTGCTCAAAAGTAATGTACATCATATTGCTTGAAACTAACAACCATATAAAAGTGGTAATCATTATCTAAACATTGATTATGAAAGACGACTGGCATATATTTGGGCAGAGTGTCAAGTTCATGATTGTTTATTAACGATAAAAGTACTTTTACTGAAGCTAACATGATATATAGGTTTCTATGTCAATTACTACAGTTTCTTAAAGTTATAAAAATATTATATAAAATACCACAGGCTTTAGAGGATATAACTTCATGTGGTTCTGATACTAGCAGCTGAAAAGTATTTATAATTTAAAAATAAATAAACTATAGAGGTAAACCAGTTACAAAACAGCAGAGGACTGTAATAGTCACAGAGTGAAAAGAATAGCTAACAAAATGGTGAAGCAGTTGGATCAAAAGTTTTAAAAACCTCTTTCAGAGATTTGTCATCTGGTTCTCTACTGGGATCACTTTCTGGGGTGGGGCTCATCTGTCCTGGCTGCCTGGACTGCCTTGGATCGCTGTACTGGGGTCTAATTAAGCCTGTTAATGCCTGAATAGGAAGACTGTGCACTGCTGGGACCTGAACCATACCAGGACTCCTGAGAATATCTGCCTGGGGATCAGCCAGCCCATCCACAGCGACTTCCACGTTTGCACTGGTTTTGTGTGGCAGGACTGCTTCTCCAGGAGAAGGCTCATTTTTGTCACTACTTTTTAAACCACCACTTTTTTTCTGGTTCTCTGCATTTTCTGTTGCTAGCTCTGATGCAGATGATGAAGCATGCTCCCTAGGGTCATACAAACTAATGCCACTAAGAACTGAACTTGGAGTTCCCAGGGGAAGGCCAGCTGAAGAGGAGAGTTTAGGGGCATATGGAGGCAAAGGCCCTGGCCCAGAACTGCTAGTCGCTGCCCCTGAGGGCTGTGACGAAGCAGGGTTAGATCTGGCTAAGTGAGGGGTGGCCTTTAATGTATGTGAGTCCTTCACAACAGCTGGGTGAGACTCTGTACTCTGCAGTCTATGAAGCCTAGGATCAAAATTTTTTTGCAGCCTAGGATCTCCTAATTTACTTCCTGAACTATGTAAGTCTCCAAATTGTTCTAGGTAGCCTTCTCTGTTTGTGGTGTTCACTTTGGCTTTGGCTGCTGATTTCGAATCAGTGGGCACTGTGTTCTGATGAAGATCGCTTTTTGTATTCCATAACCTATTGAGCCTCTGGTCAGCTATAAGAGGGGGCAGAGGTAAATTGATTGAAGATACTGGGTCAGGTTTAGGTAAAGGGACTGGAAGTAAGTCTTCTGGAGCCCACACGATGTGTTTTGCAAAGTTGGGTTTGGTTAGGATAATATCCATTTTAATGTGACTGAACTGCCTCAGCTGAGACCTTGGATCTTGGAGCATTATGCCAGGGGAAGAATCCAAAGGTATTAAGAAAGCTTTTTCTCTCAATTCTCTTTCTGTATCTTCATCATCATCATCTCCTCTTTTGTGTTTGACAGAGCTAGCATTTGCATGATGTGAATCAAACTTTGTTCCACCAACAGAAGATCCTACGTGACCGCTTCCATTCCCTCTCAGTTTCCTGGGATCCCATGCAAGTCTAAGATCCAGTGGGGTAGATTCAGATTTTCTCATGTCTTGCCTTGGGATAGTCCTAAGTCTAGGGTCAACAACTTGGTTTCCTTTGCTTTTCTCTTTAGCGAGTCTTGGGTCAGTAGGAGTGCTGAGCTCTGTGGAAGGTTGTTGCTGATTCCTTAAAGTTTCTGTTTGTTTCTGTAATGTTTTCAGTATTGACTTCACACTGCTTCCTTCTTCCTCTTCACTACTTGAATACCAGTTAACAGTATCATCTAAATGCAGACAAAAAGTTATTATAAAGAATGAATCATTCATATTTGACCTTAATTAAAATAATTAAAAAACACACAGCACTTCTGGAATAAGTATAGTCTAACTTCAAGAAAATGCATCAGAGAAATACCAGAGTTTCAATACTGGAATAAAATTAGATGTGGAATGACAATGATCAATTTAGTCATCATACTCTATAAAGAAAGAGGTGTGATATTGTAATATCTGTAACATCCTTCCAGTCAGGGAGAAGTCAGGACCTTTCACTCGAACTGGCCGAAAGGGAACTCAAGAGTGTGTGTGGTATGACAGAGTTGGGGAAGAAGAGAAAATACTCTTGGAAAAGAATGCTAAAATGTTTTGGATCTCTTTAATTCAAGTAATACTTAAGCTTTGTAACTCTGGATTTATCAAGATAACAAGGATGAAATATTTTTTAAGAATCTGGAAAGAAAACAAAACACTAATAGCACTGGTTAAGGAAGCAATGGGAACCAAGCAAATGAGGGATGAGGAAGAGATTTTTCATTTGTAGCTTATTACATTTTTAGATGTTTGACATACGCGAATATATTATTAGCTATTTAAACATTTAAAAGTAAAAATAACAAAACTAACATCCTGAAATTTATATACTTTAACTTTATGGGAACACTTTGGACCTTACTCCCGAAGGTTTATATTTAACCCTAGTATGTTAGACACCCTGTTAAGAAGCTTAACTGTCAAGAGGTGTTCTCTCTCGTAGTACAGCAGGGATTATAAACTGATGCTACAGGAGGGAGTCTCCTTCCTTTCCATTAAAACATACATACGTTGACTTTGAATTGGTAACACAAACACACACACACACACTCCCATACATATATATGTATATATCCTAGAATATTTTGGATTAATAGAATATTGGACATATTCTCATTTAACTCCTCTCACTGCTCACTAACATGTTTCTACTCCACGGAACTTTAGTGTTACACATTTAGCTTGAACAGAGTTACAAAACAGGCATTGGTATTTAGGGTGGAATTGGGGTTTAAAATCGTATAGACCATATATCACAATGGAAAAAAGTTTTGTTTTGTTTTTAAAGACTTTATTTTTAAGTAATCTCTCCATCCAATGTGGGACTCGAACTCACAACCCCAAGCATCAAGAGTCTCATGTTCCACTGACTCAGCCAGCCAGGCACCCCAACCCAATGGAAAAAAGTTTCACTCATATTTCAGTGTCAGAAAAAACTACTTCTAGACACTAGATCTCTTTTCTTCCTCTCTTTGACCTCAGGAAGACCAAAGCTGAACTAGTGATTCACTTTTACCTGTTGCCATTATTTTAAATATTTCTGCATAGCGATTTCACTCCTCACAGAATTTATTTGTTCCAAATAGGTAAGATGATCCAAATCTGACCCACAGAAGGAAGATGCTATTTTATTTTGACTTTCATATCAATATATTTCATAAGCAATCTTAAATCCTTTTTGGAATGAGAATGAATATAGAACAGAAGGAAAGCAGACCAGTAGAGATAGGCCAAATGGAAAGGAGATATTAGATAAGAAATGAAAGTTATCAGCTTTTTATCAAAGGACAGATTAAAGTTATAAGGGCATTAAAATTTATAAAAATGAACATAAACACACAAAAAACCTAGCTGTTCACTACTAGGTATTTACCCCAAAGATACAAATGTAGTGATCCAAACAGGCACCTGCACCCCAATGTTCATAGCAGCAATGTCCACAATAGCCAAACTATGGAAAGAGCCCAGATGTCCATCGACAGATGAATAGATAAAGAAGATATGGTGTGTGTGTACACACACACACACACACACCATGGAATATCATTCAGCCATCAAAAAGAATGAAATCTTACCATTTGCAATGACATGGATGAACTACAGGGTATTATGCTAAGCAAAGTAAGTCAGAGAAAGACAATTATCATATAATCTCACTCATATGTGGAATTTAAGAAACAAAACAGGAGAGCATAGGGGAAGGGAGGGAAAAATAAAACAAGATGAAATCAGAGAGGGAGACAAACCATAAGAGACTCTTAATCAAAGGAAACAAACTGAGGGCTGCCTGAGGGGAGGGAAGTGGGGGATAGGGTAACTGGGTAACGGGCATTAAGGAGGGCACGTGATATAATGAGCACTGGGTGTTATATACAACTGATGAATCACCAAACTCTACTTCTGAAACTAATAATACACTATATGTTAATTAATTGAATTTAAATTAAAAAAAAAAACCTAGCTGTTCAAGATTTTTCCTGGATACGGAGAAAAAACCTTCATAAAACATCACCAATTATATTATTACACTACAAAATTTAAATCCAGAAAAACTGTAATTTTCTTGTTTATGAAAATGTAAACTTTTCTAAGACTTTATAGAAAGATTATCATTAAAATTGTTTTTTCTTAAAGTTAAGTTTTAGCACTTTAAGGAGCAAACACAAATTGTACAGGAAATTAACTTATTAGGAATCCCTCATTTCCCTGTGATGTTAAATAAATGAAGAGTTAGTGCTACAGATGTTTATATAATAGCTTGGAGCTACCTCATGTTATCTAGTTTTACATATTTATAAATTTTATGCTTAAGAGTGGGCAAACGGGCACCTGGCTGGCTTAGCTGGTGGAGCATGAGACTCTTGGTCTCAGGGTCATGGGTTCAAGCCCCACGTTGGCCATGTAATTTACTTAATAAAAAAATATATATATATGCAAAAAAGAAAGTGGGAAAACACATCAATTTTGTAATTCATAAGAAGAACTGGATGTATTAAGCTTTCTCTCCTTAACTGAATTAACTAATTGCTGTATACTTATTGATATCAAAAACACTGAGGTAAACTTGAGGTTTCCACATAATCTTTTATATTAAAAATAATATTCCTTCATAATATAGTAGAATCTTAAGTATACAGCTTATGCCCATAAAAACTTCTCTAATAACTGAATCATTTTAAACTTGGGCTAGAAGTCAAAATTCCTGAACTGGAAGATGTCTGGTTCCTATTCTATTTCTTTCTTCCATAAAAAGGACTTCAGCCCAGGCCTCACACTATAGCTTCAGATATCACTGCTTCAGGTCAAACTCTTTGCAATTAATTACTAAAGCATTATTGGCACTGGAAACCACAATCAATTCCAAGCAGACACAAGCTACCAGGTAAACTGGAAATAGAATAGATAGTTCAGAGGAACTCATTTTTTAACCTATTCAAGAGCATTTCAGGAACTGAGTAATCCAAAGTAAGAGGCTATCATAACACCTGACACACCTTCTTCCCTGCTTGGTGCCCTTTGAGGTTGGGTGCTGCTTGGTTCATCATCTTCTTGGTACTTCTGAGTAAGTCTGACAAAAAGAGCTCTCTGCACTGCAGGGAGGAGGCCTGGTGCAGGCAGGGGGCCATGGCCTGTTGTGTTGCTGCTGCCGTCAGATCCACTTGCACGGTTAGGGGAGTCTTGAACAATGGTTGGCTGATGCTGGGCAAAGTCAACATGCCACATCCCATCTATACACACAACACAGAAAGACACAGACACTGATTTAGCACAGAACTCCACTAGAAATTGAATTATAAGAAATTATAAGAAATTGAAGCTTTAATAATAACTACATTTGATTACCAAATTATGTAATTGTAAATATTTTTTTAAAGATATTATTTATTTGAGAGAGAGAGAGCATGGAGGGGAGAGGCAGGGGCAAGCAGACTCCATGCTGAGCGTGGAGCTGGACGCGGGGCTTGTCTCACGACCAGGAGATCATGACCTGAACTGAAACCAAGACTCGGACGGTTAACCGACTGAGCAAGGCAGGCGCCCGATTGTAAATATTTTTTTAAAGCTATCTAAAGTTCTGGTGTAGCAAATGTTTGGTTAAATTTAAAATATATTTTATGGCTTCAATTTCATTACATTTTACTTAGCTTTATTAAAGACACACATTCTTATCATGTTTTTAATGAAAAATGGAGAACTCCAAAGATTTTAAATTAAAAATGAGTTATTTGAAAAGGTAAACTTACCACCAGAGTTATTGGGTGGCTGAAAATTATGTACAGCATGCTGTGAATAGTAATTATCATAAAATTCAGCTGGGTTTTGTAGGGACTCATAACTGGTGTTGAGCTGCATTTCACCAGTACTTTGCAGGTATGAGGAACCTGGAGAACAGTGATTCTCTCTAGGTACTTTCATCATATGTTCTGGAAAGCCTGAGCAATGGTAAGCACCACTCATACTCGGTGGTGTCAAAGGTGCATCTGGTTGAACAAGTACCCCAGCTTGACTGTGAGGACCTAAAATTCCAGGTGGAGCAGGTGGCAAAGGTGGGCTGAGTGGCACTGCTGCGCATGGATGATGTCCGGGGGAGCCCGGGTGCATCACAGGACTACTGTGTCCCTGAGACATATTAGGTCCAGGACCTGGACTTGATCCAGAACTATAGATATGTTGAGGATGTGGGCTGCTTTCCTGAAACTGTGGTCCTGGTGGTGAGGTACTGTTATAAAATGCTGGTGGCCTGTAGACAGAAAGAATAATATTTCTTAGCTCAAAGAAAAGAGGCAAACAAGAATGTTATATTTTTAAATATGTATTGGTTAAGTGTGTTTTTCTATATCAGAATGTGTTTTTGTTTTTTTTTTTTTTAAAGATTTTATTTATTTGACAGAGAGAGAACACAAGTAGGCAGAATGGCAGGCAGAGGGAGAGGGAAAAGCAGGCTCTCCGCCGAGCAGGGAGCCAGAATGTGGGGCTCGATCCCAAGACCCCAGGATCATGACCCAAGCCGAAGGCAGCTGCTTAACCCACAGAGCCATCCAGGCGCCCCCAGAATGTGTTTTTAAGAAGCAGTTTATTCTACATTATCTCTAAATGAAAACACCAGTATAAGCATCTTGCCTTCATTTTAGCCCACAGTCTTAATTGACACCATCAGCTGTTCTAAAGCTTACAGATATTTTGAAAAATACAGAAAAGTACAAAGATAAGTAAGAATCACCTCTAATCCTGCCACCCAAAGATACATTTTTTGATTAGTTCTCTCCTAGAATTATTCTAGGCATACACAGACCTTTTTTTTTTTTTAAAGATTTTAGTTATTTGACAGAGAGACACAGCGAGAGAGGGAACACAAGCAGGGGGAGTGGCAGAGGGAGAAGCAGGCTTCCTGCAGAGCAGGGAGCCTGATGTGGGGCTCGATCCCAGGACCCTGGGATCATGACCTGAGCCGAAGGCAGCTGCTTAACTGACTGAGCCACCCAGGCGCCCCCACAGACCTTTTTTAAAATATAACAAAATTAGAATTGTATATATATATACACAATTTATATATACAATTTATATTATATAGAATCTATATATATAGACAATTCATATTATATATAAACTATATAAACACACAATTTTTCAATTTCTCATCAATTACTGCTGGCATATAAAAAGACCTTTAGATTTTGATTGTTGTTCTTCTTTCTGGACATCTTACTAATTTAATTACTATTTCTAATAGTTTTATCAGTTGATTCCTTCAGGTTTACCAAGGGAAACCGCCCAAATAATGAGCTGCCTCTCCATTTCTAACCTTTTATCTACTATGTCTTTCTCTTTTTGCATTGGGTAGGATCTGATCTACAATATTAGCCAAACAGTGAACATACCTGTCTTCTTGACCTTGACAGAAATAATTTTAATGGTTCACATTAACTGTGACATTTCTTGTTCCTCATTTGCTGAGATCTCATTGCTTTCCTGAGTGTTCAGGGTTAAAATAATCAACAATGAGACTTAAGGCCCAAGGGCACATCCCTGGGAAAGGGCAGCAGGACTGGAATGGTGTTGTTAGAAAATGCAAATCTGGATGCAGCTTACCCAAAGGTTTTCCTCTAATAGCCCAAGGAAATACTTCTCTAAAAGAATCAAATATTCTGGAGACATGCTAATGCCACTATTTGAAAATGTTATCAATGTCGAATGTAGCCTCGTAATGAATTGGCCAACGTCATCCACCTGGCAGTGTCCTTCAGGGTTACTATGTGGAGAGGTTTCTGAAGCTGTTAGGGATTCCATAGAGAGAAGCACTGATGGCATGCAGCAGAGGGCAGAGACAAAGAGGAAGCAGGAAGAGCAATCGGTGTAAATGCCAGGTATCTGCTATCTCTATCTAAGTTTAACTATATGATTAACATGGAATACAAGTTAGTTTCTTAATAAGAACTTTTAGGGGGAAAATGATGCCATTTTTGAAAATTTTAACTTACTTCTTCCCAATCTTATGTGCTAAATCCACAGTAGGTTTTACAACTATTTCAAAAAGAGATGGGATTTTCTTGAAATCATCAGAGAGATCGGTCTGAAAATCATCTTCAGGATCAGAAAAGGGAAAATGCTCTGGTGGGGTTGGCAGAAGCCCAACTCCTGGAGGTGGTTTGGGAAGAGGAGTTATGCCCCGTTTTCTAAGTTCTTCTAATTCTCGTTCATCTTCATTTGTGGCTTCTTCTTCAGTGTTCAACACCTAAAAATGATCGGCAAAGATTACTATTCCAAAACAAGCTTTCTTCCTTACATTTAAAAACTGTGAAGACTTCAATAAACCAGTTTTGTTATTAGGAAAATATCATTTTGAAGTTAAAATGGTCAGAGAGTGCTAACTCATTTTTGATAATGAGGTTCAAAGTGGTAAAGGATATTTCTCAAAGTACATTAGCTTTTTAATGGCAGAACAAGAGTAAGAATGATTCTTAATTCCTAGTCCAATATTTCTGCTTTTCTAACACACTACATTCATAGATTAAAACATAAAATAACAAATCCTTGATTTCTCAGACTTTTATGAAATACGATTTATAAAATATGATTCAAGTCAAATGAATCTGTGGTGAGACCTAACAAATAATTGAAGTGCAAAAATATTACTTACTTTGTCCAAAAGTTTCTTTGTTTCTTTAGTCAGATCATCATGTGAAAATTTACAATTGTCTCCTTGGTAACATTTTGCTCCACTATGATAGAACTTACACGGAAATTCATGTAAATAAAAATATTAAGGAAGAGACGAAGTAAAATCAAACTCTAATATTTTTAAATCCAAAAACATAACTGTGCTGAGTCAATAAGGCTGTATTACTATATATTGTACTGAATTTTTTACAATCATGTCAGTTTAGACAATTTAATTTTTAAGATGAAATATTTCAATTACATAGCAAAACATTCAAAGATTTTAATTTTCCTTACTATATTTAGTTAGAAAAATTTTTAAATAAAAAATATAATTGTTATAGCAAATACTATAGTATGTCAATTATGTAAATTCCATTACTTTCCACAATAAAAATTGTAGACAGAGCAAACAAATTTTGTAGCAAGAGCTTATATTAATAAAGAAAACAAAAGGGCTCAACATGTCATGTTAAAGTCAAATATCCCAACATGAAAACTATAAGCCAAGCTACATCATGATTTTGAAAACAAATTTTGAACTTCTAAAGAAAATACTAATTCCAGAAGTTTATTGAAAAATATGCCATCTTCAGGTGGTTTACGGTTCAGGGAATTCCTGTAGGGTTTTAGGAAATTTATTACTGTAATCAGCACTTTGACAGATTAAGAGAAAAAAATCGTATGAACATAGCACAAGCTATTTTAAATTTAAAACCAAAGTAGGTTTTCTAGGGATTTTGAAAAACCTCAGTAATATTTTACAACCTCAATATTTTGATTTACACCTTTTAATAAAGGATATTATGCATATAAATGCAGTTCTCTCCTTTGGTACAATATCCTTGTAAATAAAATTTGCAGATCTCCTTTCTCTTCTCCAACTCTGCATCATGATCAAATTTACACTGATCTCCCTGTCACAAAAGAGAAAAAAGAAAGAAAGAGAAAAAAAGAAACAACTGAGTTTTTTCTTTGGTGTTCCATGGTGGAATTGTGGCCATATCTTCAGTGTTTAAATAATGATCTAATAATAATTCAAACAATCCCTTGGAAGTCTTGCCCAAGACAGTGGATGTGGCTATGTGCAGAGGCAGCACGGGGAGCATGGCCTCAGAGGCTGCTGCCTGGGTTCCACCAGCACTCATCATTTCTAGTTGAGCTACTGTGGGCACTTATTTAACCTCTTGGTTTGGCCATGTTTAAAATGGGGATAATAACAGTAACTACTTCATAGGGTTGCTGTAAAGATTAAAAAATTTAATATTAATAATCTTTGAACAGTACTTGCCACGTAGCATTATGTGTTTGTTAAATAAAATCTGAGTTCAACAAATTATATTACTGTCCCAGAATATAATTAAATGAGCTCTGATGTACAGTATTTCCATAGATACACTTTGAAGATACGTTTTGAAGAACCAGCTTTATTATTACAACTGTATGAGAAATGGAAAAAAAAAACCAAACTAACCACCCCCAAAAAAGACTTTACATTTTAAAGATTATTTTGGAAGTTAAAATGATTTATGATACCCCCCAAAATTTACCTTAATACATCTCCCTTCCAGAAAGTATTTACAGATTTGTTTTCCTTTGTGTTCCACTGTGTGCTGATTAATGAATTCCTGAGTCATAACCTTCCATTTTTTCCCTGGTTTACTATACTGTAAGAAAGAAAAAAATCACTTGAATACAACATATGAAATACTATGTACTAAAATGGATAGTCAAATGGATTGGGAAAGCAGTACAAACTACTATTTAGAGTGGTCAAGAGCGGGCATTCAACACTATACACTTATTTGGAGAGATTCGCTTCTCATACACTGCTTACTGCTACTACTGGTTGCAAAGAACCCTCCATTTTAATTAGGCTGTACAACTACTTTTTAAAAATAAAATTATGAAAAGCTTGAAAAATAACAATAATACTCTGTTGGCAAAGATGTTAAATGTGCATTCTTGTGATTGTTGATAGCTATGTTATAAAAGATTGATAATATCCATACTGTTTGACACAAAATTTGCACTTTTCAGGAGTATTCTGAAGGAATTATCGGGGAGGCACACATACATTTATTCACAAAAATTACTGCAGAATTACATGATAAAACAACAAACAAGCAGACAGACACCTAGAAATACGCTACACATCCCAAACAATGAGACCAGTCAAATACATTATGATGCAGATCAGTGTAGATTAGTATGAAATCATTACAAATTGATGAGATGGAAAGACAATTTAGGGACATAAGAAAATGTTCACAGTACTTTAGTAAGTGGAAAACTGATCTGATTTTTATAATAATAAAGACAAAGAAAAAAGACTAAAAGAATATAACCCCATGTTTAAAGTGTATGTCTCTAGATGGATCTCCAAAAAATTAAAGATATTTTGCATGTGTGGTTATTCTGTACTTCCTTTAGGAAAAAAAAAAGAGGATGTATTTCCTTTAACTTTTAAAAAATAACAAAAAGAAGCATATGGTAGAAAATCTCACAGCCCTACCTGTTTTCCTTACTTTCTCCTTAGACCTCTATTCAACTTTTGCTATGAGTACAAGAAGATTGAGTAACAAGAGTAGGATGCTTAGCCATGCTAAGGACTTAGATTCATGAGCTCTATAAAATAGCACTGTTTTACAAACACCTGGTATGCACCATGCTTTGTATATAGCAGGAGCTCACAATAAACTATTTGCTCTTCTAATTTGATTTGTTTCCCTTTCCTTCAATTTGCTAAGGAGATGGGAGAACAATACACAACCTACTGAAAATAGGAAACTGCCTCAGAGCAAACACTTGAGGCAAAACATGGCTAGACTTAAATCTGATCCTCAGCGTTTGCATCTGAAATATATGTTTTACTGTAAGAATTCTGGGGAAAAAAGTACAAAAATACCAAGAAAACAGATAATCCTATAGGTTCTTTTAAAAAATAAAAGTATACCCAAATTGCCCCAGGAAAAACACAATGAAATTGCTTATACTATTCTTGATAGGATCATTTAAAATGTCTTAAATTTATGTAAATTTGAATCGCAAACATTTTCTATTTCCAGGCTCATTTAGAACAAGTAGATATAAATGACCAGCTCACATATGCCTTCTGTACAAAAAATGGTGGCTATAATAAAATAGGAAGCCAAGGAGAATGCATTATACAAAATCAATAGGCCAACTTGGAGAATATAACTGAAATTGAAAAGTAAAATATTCGGGGCGCCTGGGTGGCTCAGTTGGTTAAGCGACTGCCTTCGGCTCAGGTCATGATCCTGGAGTCCCGGGATCGAGTCCCGCATCGGGCTCCCTGCTCGGCAGGGAGTCTGCTTCTCCCTCTGACCCTCCCCCCTCTCATGTGCTCTCTCTCTCTCTCATTCTGTCTCAAATAAATAAATAAAATCTTAAAAAAAAAAAAAAAGAAAAGTAAAATATTAAGTAATCACCAAAGAAAACCCAAAACCACCCTGAAAAATGCACCAAGTTGTACCTCTATTTCATCAATAACACATTCTATGTTACTTTCTAATGATGTGCCTCATTGTTTTAATAGAGGATAGTCGGTTTTTTTGTTTGTTTAGTTTAGTTGTTGAGTTTAGTTTAAATGAGTAGAAAGTATATCAGTATCCATAACCATGAGAAACCTAATTATAATCAAGATATTCTAGAAAATCTAAAGCAGCTTTAACAATAAAATTTTAGGACAAAATAACATGCCTAAAAGATCTGATCTTTTAAGTCTAAGCCTATAGAAGCGACACGAATGTCCTCTACCCTAAGATCTCATGTAATATAAGAGTTGGAAGAACCACAGAAGTCATTTAGTTCATCAGCCTCACTAGACAAATGTGAAAAGTGGCTATTAGAGAAATTAGTGACTTGCCAAGGGTCGTATGGCAAGTTAGCGGTCAGGATAGCTAGAACCCTTTACACTGTATCATACTACCTCTAAGAAAACACAATTCAACAAAGAGGGAGAAAAAAAAGAAAGAGGGAGAGAAAGGAAAGATGGAGAGAGGGAAAACTAAAGTACCTATTTGTTATTTTAAAATGTATTTACTCTAGAAGATGTATTACATTGGTATAAGGAACAAGAGCATAAAATATTTTTTAAAATATATAAGGAAGAGGGAATGAAAAGATTTGCCAGCAAAATAATATGTATTTACAGAAAATGTAACAGCTGTTATAAATACAAAAAAATTAAGGGAGGTTTTATGGCCAACAGAATAAATAAGTCCTTCAAATCTATCAAAAATTTACTTGTTCTATGACCACACAGAGTTTTCAAGACAGTTCGTGTGGACATGCAGGCATCTGTGAATTTATCTGGCTTTGGGAGGATCTCACACTTCCTGGAAAGGATGGTAATGGATCTATGTTGGCCACTCTAGCATGTTCATTCTACCCTGGATAGGTTTCCCCCAGGCCACTCCTGAATATGAGCTACTTGCTTGGGATCTGGCACTCTCCTGGTTGTTTCTGGAATCATAAGAAATCTCTCTTGACAGCCAATAAACTGACACAGTTGATAACATTTTAATCTTAGTAAGCAAAAGGAAAAATATTCTAAATCTGATGAATGCAAAAGAAATAATTTATTCTGATTTTCTATAACATGATAAAGAATCTTTTAGTTGCAATCCAGATCTGTAAACATGTTAGTGCTTGAAGGTCTCCTTAGAGTTAATTTAATACCATACTTTCATTTTACAGATTAAGCAAATTAAAGCTCTGATTCAGGTAGTAACTTGTTCAAAGCCACACTTTCTTGGAAGCTAATTTTTTTTCCAAGCATAGTGTGTACCTATTGGATATAGGAGAAAGCTTACTTTCAGATAGCATTCATATTAATTTGGTCTAGGGAAAGCAGCACACTCTAGAGGAATGTAGGAAGATGGACAGGTAGGTTACAATCACTCAGAAATTCTAAGCTTGTTTCCAAAGCTGCTATTCCATGGAATAGTGAATGGCTCAATGAATGTTAATAGATTGGGCAGGAGTGGGGGGAAGTTCAGGGTCAAGTAAAATATGAAAACAATGGATTGAACAAAGTAAAACAGGCTTTTTTTTTTTTTAAGATTTTATTTATTTATTTGAGAAAGAGAATGAGAGACAGAGAGCACGAGAGGGAAGAGGGTCAGAGGGAGAAGCAGACCCCCTGCTGAGCAGGGAACCAGATGTAGTACTCGATCCCAGGACTCCAGGATCATGACCTGAGCTGAAGGCAGTCGCTTAAACAACTGAGCCACACAGGCGCCCTAAAACAGGCTTTTCTATATCTAACTTGCAAGAAGCCTTTAATACATTAATGTCAACTGAGAATCCCCAAGAGTAGACTGGCATGTGCTGGGTTTCACAAATTTATTTGGGCCTGAACTTCTTTTTTTAGGTTATACCTATTAACATCTCCCTAAATAGTACACTAAGGAGTACATATTAAGAAATCTTTGCCCCTTGGGGCACCTGGGTGGCTCAATCATTAAGCGTCCGCCTTCAGCTCAGGTCATGATCCCAGGGTCCTGGGATGGAGCCCCACATTGGGCTCCCTGCTCGGTGGAGAGCCTGCTTCTCCCTCTCCCTCTCCCCCTGCTTGTGTTCCCTCTCTCACTGTCTCTCTCTCTCTGTCAAATAAATAAAATCTTAAAAAAAAAAAAAGAAAGAAATCTTTGCCCCTTATCTTTAAACCCAGACATCAGAAAATCAAGCATTTTCACATTACAATATATTGCTATCCCTTTGCTCTCATCTCACTCAAGATCGTAGCTTTTAATAACCTACCCTTGCTCTGTATAATTCAATCAATCTTACTGGAACAGTGGCAGAATACTGGATTTGGACCACTTTAATCCCAAGAGTTGCAACAAGGCTGAAATGTACATGTTCAGAATTCAATTCAACATATATTTATTCACTATTTACTATACCCAAGGTACACAAATTCAGCTTTCCAACCATTTATAGTGCCTTTTCTTCTATTTCACTGCTTTCAGTTCTAATAAGTTAATCTACCGCTACAGTATCTCCCTTCTTATTAGCCATGCTTCATATTGAGCTATTAGCATTTTATTGCCCTTTGCGTCTGGGGAAGATGACTCCTAGGAAAGTAAAGTACAACAGAGAACTACTAGAATCACATTTTTGCTTTCCGACATACCAGTTTTATTTTGAGGTGCTTTCAAACACATTAATTTTATTTCAAGGTCACCTAAATTTGCATCTCTATACTAGTATCTTGACTAATTAAAACAATTCTTTTATTTCTTTTTTTTAGAATCTATTTATACTCATTTGATCTTAGCTGGAAATTTTTCATTTACTAGGAAAGGAGCATTAAAATCACAATGCTTTCTTTGCAGCCAAATAGGTTAAAAGATGGAAAAGCTCTCCTCATTATAAATTCTCAGTACCTCTTGATAGTCATCCATTCCTGAAAAAATATTAGGCCCTTTATTGGTTCTTCCCCCACGGTCTTTGCGTTTGATTTTCTTCGGCAAACCACGTCCACGACCAACATTAAAAGTTTTAACCCTCTGTTCAATACCTAAAAGAGTTAAAATGTACTTCAAATATTATAGAAAAACAACACACCTGTCAACCTATCAGTTTATAGGGAACAGCATATTTTAAATAGTCTATAATATACAGTGCATTTTTTTTCCTTCTCTAGATTCAATGAAAAAAAATTAATTAAATCTTTACATTTTACTTTCCAGGTAGTGCTTCTCATTCTTTTTTTTTTTTTTTTTTAAAGGATGTTAACAATAAGGAGGTCAAGGCACCAGAATACACATGGCTACAGAAGTCAAAGCTAGTTTTGTTCTTTTCAATTTTCCTTTGAATAGGAAATAACAAGGCTTTCTGTTTTTAAGGGAATTAAATATTATATTCATCCTTAAGGAAGACATTGTGGTTAATTTGACCAAATTGAGTTTCTAGTGATAATTTTGAGTAGGTATCACATATATTTCCAAGTAAAATTGATACCTTTTACTTTTAAAAAACTTGGCATTTAAAAGTATCTAAAATTGCAAAAATTATGTATTAGGATGGCAAGTTACTATATAGAGTCATTTCTCATTTTACCAAAGTCACATCAAACTAATACATTTTCTTATGTATTAAGTGTTCTTAAACCTACAAAACAGCAAATAAATATATGAAAAAATGTTTTACTTCATTAAAAGAAATAAAAAACTAAAAGTTTAAAAATAACATACCAATTTTTATCTCAAAGAATAGTGTTGGTATGGATTTGGAGAAATTGGCATTTTCACATACTGGTGGGGTGTTATAAATTGGTCTATCAACTTTTTGGAAATCAACTTGGTATGTGGATAAAAAATTTTCAAATGCGTGGCTATATCTTTTGATTCAATTCTGCATTTCAGAATTTATTCTTAAGAAAAAATATTTGTGAAGATGCTCTTTGAGACATATATAAATATATAGGATTAATCACAGAATTAAAAAAAAATGGGTGCAACTTAAATCTCAAGTGATTACGATCACACAAACCTAAGAATCTGTTAGACACATTATGGTATATCTATTTAATTGAATAGAATGTTAGCATTAAAAGCTACTCATTAATGTAAGAACAATACAATTCATAGTTAAGGGAAAAAACAAGTTCAACAGTATGCATAGTTTTTTGTTAAAAATAATTGCCAGAAAAATTCTGGAAGAATGTACACCAAAAATATTAATAGTAGTTATTTCTGGGTGTAGGGATTCAAATTATTTTTGTTTTATCTTTGATCTTTGTTATTGTTTCCACACATAGAAAAAGTTATCTGCATTTGACCATATATTACTTTCATAACTGAGGGGGGAAAATGAATGTCAAAAATAAAAGAATACTCAATTCTTTAACAGAACAAACAGGAAGAGCTTGAAAGAGAAAACCCCAGGTGGGAATGGATGAGCAAAACCTCTCTATGTTCCCTTATTCCCCAAGTGGAATGATTCCTGACACCACTATGTCTAGACTTCAGGAACAAACTTAACTAATTACAATAGCATATGCACAGACAAATTCCTTTCCTTTTTAGGTCAGCAAAAGCCTGGATTCATATTTTTCAAAGGAATTTTGCTAGGAAATCAAGAAAAAATAAAGTCATAAAAATAATCACATTTACTCATAACTGATTCCTTTTTTCAACAATATAGAAAGTATAGTAACATTGGGTTAGGGGCTCACTCCTTCACCTCAGCCTCATCTTGCTCCAGTTTTCTTGAAGCAGACATTGAGTGGACAATTTGTAAGGTTGATTTGACTTTTATGTGACCCATAGTTTCTATGGCAACTTGCCCTGGTCTCTCCAGGGATCATGTGCCTCAATACAGCAGATGAAGTGATGATCACTCGAGAAATTTCTTAGTTTATGTTCTTATTTCCAATCTTGAAGGATATCCATAATCCTAAGTATAAGTACCTTTGCACAGCAAAGATGATCATCATCTTTTAAAGTCTAATAAAAGAATAGCTCCCCAGAATTCTGTCTTTACAGGTCTAAAATATAAAGCAATGCGCAGAGTAACAGAAACAACTGAAAAAGGTAAGCCATTTTTTCAGTATACTGGTATCACCGTACAAGGAAAGGGAAAAAACATAATGGGAAAGTTGTTTTACATTTTTATATACTTTTAAAATATTAGTGTATCTTTCTAATTCAAATATGAAGATATCATGCAGACTGAAATATTCGTAGATGTTTGTCCTCAAAATCTATAAAATAAAGAAAAACAAATTCAGGAACCATGGGAATAAGCTGATCTTGAGAAGGGACTAAGAAATTTAAGTTGTTACTCCATAGCTGCCTGTTGTAATAAGGCTCTCATATTCAAAAAAGACTGGCAATTTCATACTTACCTTGCTGAGCTTTCATTCTTTGTTTTTTCCCTGGTTCTTTAGAAAATGATGATCCTAAAGCAGTAGTTGAGGTTTCTTTAGCTTGTCTGTATTGTTTCAGCTGATTGGCAAAATCTTCCTCTGTTTCCTGACTGTAGGTACCAAAGTTGTCATCACTGTACGTACTGTACTCATCATATTCTTTACTTTTAAATTTTTTGTTATGTTGACTCTTCTTTGATGTCATGTAGCTTCCTGATAAGTGTCCATGCTAAGTGAAAATGGACAATCATTATCAGGATTTTTCAGTTAAATAAATGAATTGATAGTAATACAGGACATCTTTTTTCCCTCAGAAATTTGGAGAAAGAAGGGGAAGATAGTTGTAGTTCTAACTCTTGGTTAGTACTTGTCTATGACAGTATTTAAAGCTAAAGTATTTAAAGTTCAAAAAGCTAAATGCTACTCTGGTATTATTAAACATTCTAAAGTTCATAGATCTTGCTGGTGAGTGTGGTTTGTTCACTTTTTGTTTTCCATGTCCCATGTCTCGATATATGAGTATAAAAGTATACTCAAAAACCCACACCATTATACATGAATTCCTTCTCCAAAAAATACAGTCTTTTTGAAAATATGGAAAATACAGTAAAATAGCTTGAACTGGAAAAAAATATATATTCTCCTAATATTGTCCCAAATGACAAATTTAAGCATTATAATTATACTTAATTAAAAAAAACATGTGTGGAAATTTTAGAAAAAGGAAATGTTTATATCTGAGGCCTAACAAGGATTTCCCTAAAAGTTAAAAACATCTAGTGAAAAAATTGCTCATTAGGAAATATTTATTATACTATACATTATTAATTTTATTAATAATTTATTTTACTAAAACATATGAAAACTAAGAATATACTTTAGTCCTACAATTTTTTTTTAAGTAGCATGGAACCTAATGTGGGGCTTGAACTCACAACCCTGAGATCAAGACCTGGACACTTAATCAACTGAACCACCCAGGCACCCCTAGTCCTACAATTTTATTTAATGATAGTATTCAATTCCATCTCTATTCACTAAAATATTTGTATTAGTTCAGTCATATCTTCTGTCAAGTGTTTTTAAAAGAAAGAAAGAAAAAATGCACCTAATTACAGTTTGAAGATCTAGCAAAACCCAGACCATGACTCATCTTCAGCTTAGCACATTTTAAATATAATATAAAAATACTGTCTGCCCTGGCAGATTACCAACATGAGACTATGAGTTTTTAATAAAATGCAGGGAAATATTAAGATCTTTTCAGTAATTATAAAATAGAGAAAAAAATACTTAACTAAACATACCAAGAAAATCAATTAGCTCATCAATTTTAAATTTTAAAGATATTGTATTAGGTTTCTGACTTACTTTGAGCAGTGTTTTTGTTTTTTTAAAGATTTCATTTATTTATTTGTCAGAGAGAGAGCCCAAGCAGGGGGAGCAGCAGAGGCAGAGGGAGAAGTAGGCTCCCCACTGAGCAGGGAGCCTGATGTGGGGCTCGATCCCAGGACCCTGGGATCATGACCCAAGCCTAAGGCAGACGCCCAACTGACTAAGCCACCCAGGCGTTCCTTGAGCAGTGTTTTAGAAATTTTTTTTGTTGTTTGTTTTTAAAATCAATTGTTCTCATCTAGCACTTCAGAAATTCAGAAAGGGATTTATAATTGTAGCCAAAAGGCAGTGTTTCTGACATTTTTAATAAAGAACTATGAAAATAAAATAAAAAATAATTACTTAGATTAAGGTGAAGATTAATTAATTAGTTGAATGATGTCAACTTTTCCTCTTATTAAAAAATGTGATTCCGGGGCACCTGGGTGGCTCAGTCGTTAAGCGTCTGCCTTCGGCTCAGGTCGTGATACCAGGGTCCTGGGATCGAGCCCTGCATTGGGCTCCCTGCTCGGCGGGAAGCCTGCTTCTCCCTCTCCCACTCCCCCTGCTTGTGTTCCCTCTCTCGCTCGCTCTCTCTCTGTTGAATAAATAAATAAAATCTTTAAAAAAAAAAAAAATGTGATTCCATGACATGCTAGACCAGATGGATTTAATAGATATATTCAGAACATTCCATCCTAAAACAGAGTACACATTCTTTTCAAGTGCACATGGAACACTCTCCAGAATAGATCACATATTAGCTCACAAAACAAGTCTCAACAAATTCAAAAAGATCAAAGTTATACCATGCATCTTTTCTGACCATAATACATTATGAAACTAGAAACCAATCACAAGAAAAAATCTGGAAAGAGCACAAATACATGGAAGTTAAATAAGATGCTATTAAACAATGAGTGGGTCATCCAAGAAATCAAAGAAGAAATAAAAAAAATACATGGAGACAACTGAAAATAAAAACACAATGGTCCAAAATCTTTGGGATGCAGCAAAAGCAGTTCTAAGAGGGAAGTTTATAGCAATACAAGCCTACCTCAAGAAGCAAAACAAAACAAAACAAAAAACTCAATAACCTCACCTTATACCTAAAGGAGTTAGAAAAAGAACAAATAAAACCAGAAATCAACAGAAGGAAGGAAATAATAAAAATTAGAGGAGAAATAAATGATACAGGAAACTAAAAAAGCAACAGAACAGATCAATGAAACCAGGAACTGGTTCTCTGAAAAGACAACAAAATTGATTAATTCTCTAGTCAAACTCATTTAAAAAAAAAAAAAAAGACTCAAACAAAATCAGAAACAAAAGAGGAGAAAGAACAACCAATACCACAGAAACACAACAGACTGTAAGAGAATAAATATTATGAAAAATATGCCAACTAACTGGACAACCTAGAAGAAATGGATAAATTCCTAGAAACACATAACCTACCAAAACTGATCAGGAAGAAAGAGAAAATTTGAACAGACTGATTACTAGCAATGAAATTGATTCATTAATCCAAAAACTCTCAATAAACAAAAGCCCAGGATCCAGATGGTTTCACAGGTGAATTCTACCAAACATTTAAAGAAGAGTTAATACCTATTCTTCTCAAACTTTTCCAAAAAATAGAAGAGGAAGAAAAACTTCCAAATTCATTCTATGAGGCCAGCGTTATCCTGATTCCAAAATCAGATAAAAACACCACCAAAAAAGAGAACTACAGGCCAATATCTCTGATGAATATTTATGCAAAAATCCTCAACAAAATATTAGCAAACCGAATCCAACAATACATTAAAAATATCATTCATGACATTCAAGTGGGATTTATTCTTGGGCTGCAAGGGTGATTCAATATTCACAAATCAATCACTGTGATACATCAGATCAATAAGAGAAAGGATAAAAACCATATGATCATTTCAATAGAAGAAGAAAAAGCATTTAACAAAGTACATCCATTCATGATAAAAATCCTCAACAAAGTAGGTTTAGAAGGAACATACCTCAACACAATAAAGGCCTTATATGAAAAACCCATAGCTAACATCCTCCTCAATGGGGAAAAACTGAGAGCTTTCTCCCTAAGGTCAGGAACAAGACAAGGATGTCGACTCTCACCTCTTTTATTCAACATAGTACTGGAAATCCTAGCCACAGCAATCAAACAAGAGAAAGGAATAAAACGCACCCAAATTGGTAAGGAAGAAGTAAAATTTTCACTATTTGCAGATGACATGATACTCTAATGACTCTACCAAAAAACTACCAGAATTGATAAATGAATTCATTAAGGTCACAGAGCCTACAAAAATCAATATACAGAAATCTGTTGCATTTCTATACACTAATAAAGAAGCAGCAGAAAGAGAAATTAAGAAAACAATCCCACTTACAGTTGCACTAAAAATAATAAAACACCTAGGAATAAACTTAACCAAAGAGGTGAAAAATCTGTACTCTGAAAACGATAAAACATTGATGAAAGAAATTGAAATTGAAGATGAGGGGTGCCTGGGTGGCTGTCGGTTAAGCGTCTGTCTTCAGCTCAGGTGGGATCAAGCCCCACACTGGGCTCTCTGTTCAGCGGGGAGTCTGCGTCCCCGCCCCCCATTCATGCTTGCCCTTTCTTGCTCTCTCCCTCTCTGAAATAAATAAATAAATAAAATCTTAAAAAAAAATAAATTGAAGATGACACAAACAAATGGAAAGACATTCCATGCTCATGGATTGGAAGAACAAATATCATTAAAATGTTTATACTACCCAAAGCAATCTATAGATTTAATGCAATCCCTATCAAAATACCAAGAGCATTTTTTACAGAACTAGAATAAACAATCCTAAAATTTATATGGAACCACAAAAGACTTCAAGTTGGCCAAAACAATTTTGAAAAAGAAAACCAAAACAAAACTGAGGTATCACAATTCCAGACTTCCAGTTATATTACAAAACTGTAGTAATCAAAACAGTATAGTACTAGCACAAAAACAGACACATAGATCAATGGAACATAATAGAGAGCCCAGAAATAGTCCCACAATTATATGGTCAATTAATCTTTGACAAAGGAGACAAGAATATGCAATGGGAAAAAGACAGTCTTGGGGCACCTGGGTGGCTCAGTTAGTTAAGCGTCTGCCTTCAACTCAGGTCATGATCCCAGGGTCCTGGGATCGAGCCCCACGTTGGGACTTCCTGCTCAGTGGGGAGTCTGCTTCTCCCTCCCCTTCAACCCCCCCCCCAACTCATGTTCTCTCCTGCTCGTTCTGCTTTCTGTCAAATAAATAAATAAATAATCTTAAAAAAAAAAAAGAGAGAGAGAAAAGAAAGTCTCTTCAACAGATGGTGTTGGGAAAATTGTGGACAGATACACGCAAAAGACTGAAATTGGACCACTTTCTTACACCATACACAAAAACAAACTCAAATGGATTAAGGACCTAATTGTGAGACCTGAAACCATAAAAATCCTAGAAGAGAGCACAGGTAGTAATTTCTCCGACACTGGCTGTAACATCTTTCTAGATGTGTCTCTTGAGGTGGGGGAAACAAAAGCAAAAATAAACTGTTGGGACTACATCAAAATAAAAAGCTTCTGCTCAGCAAAGGAAACAACGAACAAAACTAAAAAGACAACCTACTGAATGGGAGAAGATATTTGCAAATGACGTATTTGATAAAGGGTCAGTATCCAAAATATATAAAGAACTTATCAACTCAACATCAAAAAACAAATCATCCAAAAAAAATGTGATTCATTAATTCTTCAATGATACCTTTAAAGAGTATGAATTTTTCTCTCAGATTAGATGCTTGTTATAAAAACTTTTCTTTTTT